TGACAGCAAAGGCTAAATGCTTGTCATTATTGTTTGTTTAAACTTAAAGGTTGGCTTATGCTTTTATATGCGCTGCTTAGGATTCAAATTTAAACTAAATCCACACCAATTGTATAATTTATGTACATTTTATGCAGCTTTCATAAAGTAGTGCAGCTTCTCTAGTGGCACCAAGTCTGTGCCAACTATTACAAGAGATTTGTTGTTGCTACAACGGAATAATTAAGCAACTGCATTACTGAACGATTTGCCAGCGTCAAGTAATCGTTTCTCAAATAAATATATCCACAACGAATTGTTTCAAATTGTAAGAAGCGTATATGAATGAAAACAAATCGAAAATGCAATGCCTTTAAAATAATAATACTACTTATATGTAAGAAGCGTATATGAATGAAAACAAATCGAAAATGCAATGCCTTTAAAATGTCACAACAATTTGTTATACATTTTGGGCATTTTTATGTAGTGTTGTCTAAGGTCGAACAGATCTGCAGCTGTGTGCCAGTGTTAGTAAGCATTAAAATGCTAACTAAAGAGTAGTGCTGCAAGCTGCTCATCAACGTCAGCACCGCCGACTACATATACTTATGTAAATAATTAAAAAAAATAAAATAATTTAAAAAAAGACAAACAAATTGTTTATCGTTTATAACTCCTTTGGGATTCGAACTCACGTAACTAAACTAAACAAAAACTGCTGGCAAGGAGTGAATCCTTCAAATACACTTGTACATTGTACACGTACATATAAGGCATTTGTGTGCAAAATCTTTTGTCTCTATCTCTTATAGTCTCTGAGATTTACATATTCATACGGACAGACTGACATACAGACGGACAGACAGGGCTATAAAAATACGCTTTCTTATGCTGATCAAGAATATGTATACTTTGCCATGCTTCCTTCTGCCTGAAACATTTTCCACGTTGCACAGCCCAAATATGTATGCATACTCTTGTAGATTTCGGATACAGAGTATAAAAAGCACAACAAATTTAAACTACTGACAAAAATAAAGAAAACGCTACACTTCAATGTCTTGGAGTGGAACCTTTTCCCAGCCTTGAATGCCCATCATTCAACCGACGTCGTTGCCACACTTGGCGTTAATTAGTTTGGTAAAGCTGGCGGCGTGTGACTTTCACCAATCATTTGCAACAACAAGCAGCAGTAGAAGCAGCAGCAACAACAACAACAACAACAAAAGTTGGTATCCCTTTCCACATTTTTTTGGGCGAGCCAAAAACAATTTTCATTAACAGTCTGTCCTCGTGCTCTCAGGGTTGACGTGAATGCCTCTCCTTGCCCCGTAATCTAGAACGTTTCTGTCGTTACTCTGATTACTCACATTTTAACGCCATTTTTGGCGTAACTTTTTATACCCTTTACCCAAAGGGTAAAAGGGTATGCTAGTTTAGTGTAACAGTATGTAATACACAAAAATATACATCCTTTCCTAGTTATTCTGACAAGAAAAGTCTATATAGCCATCCCCGTGTGTCCGTCTATATGAGCGCAAAGATCTCAGGAAGTACAACAACTAGAAATACCAAACTTGGTATTCATATTCCTCTAAATACAAGGCAGATCAAGCCCATAGCATGTATATAAACACGAAGGCAATTCGAAATGTTTCTAGCCTTTCCGCCAAAATGTCAGCCATCTTCTAATATTATTTCTACACATAGCAACAGGGTATTGCAAAGTCGACTTTAGCTTTTTGCGTTGTTCTTCTTTTGCTTTTTGCTGTTCGTCTTAAGCCCTTTAGGCTAAACAAAAAGTTTTGGGAAGTGCGGATAGGAAAAAAAGAGAATTAAAAGAATCTCAATGAAGGGGTTAACAAGAAAATTTGATTTATTTGATGAGTTTTGCTTTTGTAGTTGTTTCTTGCCCAAGACGCGTTAAATGAGCATGAAAATGAAGTTTCTTTTGGTAGTAAAATTGAGCTGAGCTGGGTCTGATGGTCTGACAACTGGGGAAATAACTAGCACAAACAGCTGGATGTGAAAGAAGAACTAAAAGTCAATAGCGGCCCATTTGAAATAAGTTTCAGCTCAGATTTAAAGGTGGAGTAAGCAATTGCAATTAAATAATTAATTAATAAGCAAATATGTGTGAGAAGAGGCTCATAAAGAGTGAATGAATATGTTAAAAAAGTAAAAAACTAGTTAAAATGCTGGGACTACGACAACTTATCCATAAATAGAAGTAAATATTAAAAGAAACTTAGTCCTAACTGATCTGGAGTGCTAAAAAATGGATTGCTAGAGTATGGCGCGACCAAGAATAACCCTGTGCGCTTTTAATAATAATAAAAAAAAATCCAAACGATAGTTCAAGGTTTTTATTATAAAATAATAATAATAAAATAATAAACTATATCTGCCTAGGGGTAAGTAGAACCTGGATAGATTCTACGTCTTGTACTTCCTGAGATCCAGGTGTCCATACCGACGGTCAGTGAACAAACGAACAGAAGGACATCCCTATTTTGATTCGTCCTCACAGCCTGATCAAAAATAATAACAGTTTATAGTGTCAGCCACGCCTCCACTCTTTTAATGAAAATAATTTCAGATCGATTGATGTATTTTTATATATTTTATAGTTATTTGAACTTTAATGCTGGTTTAAAATCAAAAGCAACAAATATTGTTGCAGGAAAACACTATAAATTAGTCATTTATTTATTGCTTTGCTTAATTAATTAACTGTATTATAATCGAAAATCATCAGCTTTCATTTAGTAGCCCATCTGACAAGTTTATTTGTTCAATTTTCAATCACACTCTCCTGCAAGGGAGGACGTTGCTGCATAGAGCATTATCTTGTATATCATTTTTTGTTTGTTTGTTTTTTTTTTTATTAATTCCTAGTACGACAAGAAAAAATTATTTAATTAATTAATGTACTGGTCAAGAAGCATACAATTTTCTTAGCTAAAATAAAAAGTGATTTGAATAGCCTACTTAACCTATTTTTCTAAGAAAAGTCATTCGGGTTAGATCTTAGCACGCTTTGTCAAATACTTTTTTTTAACAAGTTGTGTAAGGATATTTTTTTATTTGTAAATGTTCATTTTAATTTTTAATTTTTGAGTTGTGAATCGGCCATAACGCGAGAGTTTGACATTTTTTATAAGAGACTTACAGAATTTAAAAGAGGAAGTATTTTATTCATAATTAAAATCCTGTTTCAGTGTTTGGAACCAGAGCCTACTCTAGAAAAACTCACATTGTGGGAACCCAACCCTTTGTTGTTGGAAAAAGGTATAGCAGCGTTAAATCGGCAAATAGAAAAGGTCTGCTCGCCACTGTAATGTTTGAAGCACAAATAACTTGTTTCACATAAGGAGGAATTGCTTTTCTAATGCTGCTACACATTTTTAAGCCGGCTATCTTAAGACCAAGTGTAGGGACAGCCAGCCAGCAATGAAGAGAAAATAATACAGATTATATTCATCGGCAAGCAGTGAATATGAGGCTTAACTTAAAAACTTTCGCCTCTCCTGCCAAAGTCCATTTATTTCAGTGACAAGCTTCTCCATCGTCAAGTTCCCCTCGTTTGCCTGTAAAATATTTTCTATTAGCCTCAAAATGTAATCATTTCGTAAAAAAAACAACACTTATGTGCAGTAAAAATATTTAACGCCTAGATGGGCCGCTCAAATAGCATATAGAACAAGGTGTAGCCATAACGAAAGGTATAAAAAGTGAGACAAAAACAATGTAAACAGGTGCGTCGTAGTAGCAAACTAAAAAATGAATAAAACGACATCAGCAAAAAAAAAAAAAAAAAAAAAAAATGTATGGAGGTGGCTCGTTTGCCATAAAAATGATTTAATATGCTTTTTATATGAGAAAAGTTTTGCAATTTTTGCACATTACTTCACTTGACAGTTGTTGCGCGATTCCTTTGGCTTTAAGTTTACTTTAAAAATGATTTCAATGTACACCACAAGCTTGTCCCATTTAATTATGCAGCGTTTCTCGGCATTGTCAGCCAAAGTTGTGCCAACAAAGTTTTCTCCGGCAGTTACTTACTCGAAAATTAAGTCTAATTGAATTTCGCAACTTGCGCACTTCGAGCTGTCATTTTAAAATGTGATTACAACAATACCGGCAGAATACCAGCATGTGTATACACTTGGGATACCGACACTCTCTCCAAATTATTCATGCCACATGGCAGCGAATGGGTGGGGCTGGGGCTGGGGCTTCTGGAAGAAGCCTAATGTGGCAGCCACTTCAATAATCAGTGGATGCCTTACAACACATCGAAAGTTTCTTTTATTGAATTGAATTTACGCTGTCATACGTGTATTACAAAGTTGTTGGGTCAGGAATTGGCATTCCTATATTATTAGGGGTATACCCTAAAGTAAAATGTACGACAATCTAAACCAGAGAAACAGTACGTAATTGTTTATAGCTTAGCTTGCGTGTGAAAAGTTTGGTTTATGTAGCTTTTGAAATGTGAACAGTGCTGACAAAATTCTGTAGCGAGTAAAGGGAGGGGGAAATCTAAAAAATCAAAAAAACTCGTGTAGCCTAGAGACTAGAATCGTTTACATACCAAGTTTGTTTAATGTGCGCTCAGCTGTTTTCGAAATCGGAGCGTTCATCCAGATGGACAGACGGACGGAAATGCTCAGATTGCCATTTCTCTCATGCTGATTAAGAATATACAAGTATATGCTTTATGGGGTCGGAGATGCTTCCTTCTGCCTTTGCACAAACCTAATCCACCCTTTATAAACATACGACTGTTTAATACCCTACACCAAACAAACTTTCGGTGCTCTACTATCCGCACCCAAAGATCATTACAAGTACATGTGAAATATGTTACGTATGTATTGGAATTGTACTTATGTATATAGCATTGGTACAATATTGTCTTAGAATTGGGAAGAGGAATTACAAAAATGAAAACTCGTGTTGTTTAGGAACTTAGAGAGGCTATATACTATATGTACATGCCAGGTCTTGTCGTTGTGGATTCAGTGATTTTTTTAAAATCTATTGTATGTAGTCCTGCTCATCAAAAATATTTATTATATACTCTATAAGGTCGATGAAGCTTGCCTCTTTCTGCATGTTACATACATATCTGTACTATTAGTAATTTATGTTGTTTAGTTATTAATAGCTAATATTTCAATTCATTTCATTATTCACAAAAATTGGCTCATAAATTTGTGTGTATCTATAATAGTTTATATGCAAACTTTCAATATATTAAAGTATATTGGGAATACTAATTATCATGCCCAGCTATTGATTCAGTAGTTCGGCTCCGAATTAGACAGTCTTAGACCGACTATTTATTTTGTGAAGGTCTGGCCACCATCAAATAAATCAGTGGGCTCCAATCAAAGCTAAGCTATCTCGTACTCAGATAATCTGAAAAAAAAAATGCTTTCCATATATTTTACAGCAGTAGGCGAGTATTTTGATAGGTCAGAAAACGTTCGCAACACTCCCCAATAGGCAATGAAATAGATTCAAATTCGACTGTGCCCGTGTCTTGTTTCTTGTGTAGAATAGTACCATAGGTATGTAGAAATGTGATAGATACTTAATCGTATACTAAACTAAAATAATATACCACCGCTAGACGGCATCAGGATGAATTCTCCGTGTTGTCAGATCTCGTATGCGTTACGCTGTGGCCCCGTCGGGCCCTGTCTGCCCGAACTGAAATATTGTGGCTGCTGTCCTTCTGCTCCGCCTGCCTGCTGTTGCAATTTCTACTATGTCCCAAATACCTGTGGTTGCTTTAACGATGTCTGTCCTTCCATGCCTGGTTGTGGTTGGTAAGATCGATGTCCTTACCAGTATACTTGTATGTATGGGAACAGCAAACCGATGTCGAAGTTGAAAATGGATTCTGGAAAATAAACACATATTATACAAAATTCAACACTACTCAGCAATAAATTAATACCGTAATATGCCAACCCCAAAGAACTGCGTTATATACATACTAAATATTTTCTTTCGACATGCTAGCTTTAGTTTGGTTCTAGAAGCGGGAACGAATACTGTATGCGTCGAAAACTCTGCGACTAAATGTATGTCTCATTAAGGAAAAAAAAGTTACTTTTTATGGAAAATGGACTCGTTTTAGGGAGAAAATCAACCGAGATGTTTTATTTCAAAAATGTTTATAAATCAAAAGAGGCTGTTATAATATTTTAATGTTATTAACTGTTGTTTCATTTTCAGTGCAACAAGATCACGAGGTGTAAGCATATTCCATTTTACGTTAGTCATTCCTTTGCAAGCTTTCTATCTGAATAAACGTATGTCTTCTTAACTGAACGGCAGTCGTCATTCTTAATTTCTTTAGTTCCATCATGGTCTCCCTTGTGTCGTGTGGTCCTATCTTTATACCCTGTACCCGGAGCGTAAAAAAGTTGTATTAAGTTTGTGCAAAGTATGTAACAGGGAAAAGGCAGCATCTCCACCCCATAATGTAAATAATTCTTGAACAGCATGACAAGAGAAATCTTTCTAGACATTTCCTTCCCTTCCTCTGTCTGTTCATCTGAATGAACGCCTGGATTTGAGAATAGACTAGTCTCTAGGCAACACGAGTTTATTTAAAATTTTGACCAATTCTGCGATATTTGTTGTTGCCTTATTTGAGTATTCTATCCGGTCTTGTTTTTCCATTTTAGCTAAAAATCCAAAAATTATCTTTTGAGGATTAATTATTTAAGACTAAAAAACATACGTTTTTTGGTTAGTTCTTCGAAGGTCCCGTCAAACGCTACTCTGGTTAAGTTTTTTTTTTTCTTAAGGTAAAGTTTTTTTTTCTCTGACAAATCCTTGAAATTTGCCCATTCTTGAAAGAGGAATAAGAGCTCCATTTTTGTGCTAAAAAATTCACGCAATTCCATTTCAAAATTAAATAGAAAGCTGGGTAGCACCAACTCTAATTCTTTTTCATCTTCACGCGCTACTTTCCTCAATTCGGTGTATTGTAGAATGTTATCAAATTCAGGTATTTCTTCTCGTTGATTCTTATAATAATCATCGAATAATCCGATTCCTTAAATATTGCAATAATACGATTTGCATTACCTTTCATTTGATTTGAACTAATTGGAACAAAGTTATATTTCCAATGACCAAGAAAATAAACGGTGTTGACAATTCCAATCTCTGTGTTTTCAATGTTTGGACTGATTTTCGGGGTATGAATAAAATGATTAACTTTTGTCAATATCATCTCTCTTAAACTTTTTTCGCTTATACTGATTAGCGTTTTGTTAATTGTTTCAAAGACTTTTGTCAGTTTTCTAGATTCCTCTTTTTTATAATAGATTCATTATTAAAAGTAATAAGTAAACTCAGTCGGAATATAAGCATTTGTAAGCTTTTTCCGGAGCACTGCAATTAAAAAACCGTGAAATAGGTATTTATACTATTATTTCCCATTGTGTAACATATGCCATATTTAATACGATGTACAAGTTAACGGCGTAAATTAAATTATCGAATGGGTTCTATGACTGATTTAAAGGTCAACAAAATTACAGAAGCAAAATGTAAGTCGAGAATTAAGTATGCATACACGTGTGTACTGTTTACATACATGATATCAGGGAATTGTGATTGATGGTGCTTTATTTAACTGTCAGGAAGTAAGTCTTGAAGTAAGGAAGTCCAATAACTCGCTAATACCGATTTGCCTGGACTATGACGTCGCCCTGTATAACTCCGTGCTTAAGCCTATTTAAACCTTCGGCTCTGAGCAGAAGCAACATCGACATTATTCAGCGAGCAAAGTCCAAATTCCAGAGAACCACCCTGAGAGACCTGCACCTCAGAAGCAAAAGATCAAATAGGACAAGATCAAGTACCTACTCTCAGGGACCGTCTTACAAACATAAGTACAATTTAATAATTAATTGTCAAATGAATTTATTGATAGTTCCTTTGAAGGAAGTGCAGATGAAATAAATAAATGAAGAATTTTAAAAAAAGTGCTAAAAGTTGGAAAGTAGTATGCCACAGAAATCGGAAACCAATTCTCTGCAGATTTCAAATCTCCCAGCTCTTCTCTAGAGATCTGGTAATAAATACTGAACAGATTATGTGTTTAATTCGCTGTAGGGGAGGGCTCGTAAGGATCAAAGTAAAGTAGAGATGGTTCGCGGTGCATCTCTTCTCATTAGAGTTTTATTTGTGACTGAAACTATTGCATATTCTTTATGCTTACATTCGTATGAAACAGTGACAGATAATTTGAAGATAACATAAGATTATTTTCTGCTTAATTTATTTATATCCCTGGCCCATGCATGGGCCATGATGCTTTTGTTAATAGAATTAATTTGATTTTTTATTATTATAGTACCACTTGTCACAATACATCCTATTAATCTTAAAATAGTCCCATTCGGTTACAGGTACTTTTTGTGATTCACGTTCCAATTCTATAGAGGGGCAAAATGTAAACGTAAATACAGGATCGTCCCCTTTTGCGGCTGCGCAATTTGAATAGTGTAAAGGACTTAAGTAGTCATATCTTATATCAAAGTTACTTGTATTCTGTTTTTTGTAATTTTGACTTTGTTTACAATTTTCTTTCTTATAATCTATATATTCGTCGCGGTATATATCATTGTGGATATGATCAAAATTCAATACGTGAATAATTATAAAAGCAGTATTACAATAATCATGCCTAATATAAGCATTGTGTGGTCGTTCTTTATACCCAACCCTTGAAAAACAATCGTCTTCTTCCCGAAACAAGATATAATCTTTGATTTCGGTACGGTTAGGTAATGGAATAAACTTTAAGCACGTTTTTTGCTCAAACATTCGAAGATCATCTTTAACTCGTTTTTCTTTCTCCTTCGACACTAAAAAGGACGGGTTAATCGACTTCCTGCCAATATTCACAGATTTCTGATAACTTACCATTTTTGTGAAATTTGTAATATATTGTTGTGCTCGGCCAAGGTAAACGTTGTTCATGAGGATTGTAGGCTACAGGCTTATGTGCACCTTCCACAAAATCCCTTTTAGAGCAATAAATTGGTTTTTTTTCATCGCATACTTTTGGAGATTCCTTTCCTGTCATATCGTGGTAACGCACCAAATCAGGGTCAGGTTCCTCCCATATTTGGTATTTGTAGGACTTTAAAAATATATCTGGACCTAATACAATCGTACTATCGGCTTCGTCGAACTCTTCATTACTATGCGATTCTCCTGCTATATCTGCACTTTTATCCAATTTGTTGTTTTGATAGAAATCCTGCATTAAATTGGAATCTGGTCCCTGAAACGCCGAGTATGCATTGTACTCCGCTGATTGCTCGTAGTCAGTATCCAACAATGGCAGGTATTGCCCAAAAATATACCCGGGTAACACAAATACCAGAGCACAAGTGAAGAGCATCTTGTGCCAGATGGTCTTTGAGGAAAGGATTGAACTAACGAGGTGCGTTCACACAGGTTGCTTTTATAGGCGAGTATGAAAATTGTGATTTTTATGCTTATATAAACAAAAAATAATAAATAATCACCCAAACGAACCGTGCGTGTCCAATCTAATAAATAAGTTTGAAGCTTAACATACTATAGCTAATTTAACATCTAGTTCTTATGTATTCTGGGACTTAGGAGCTCGAACAGAAGGAAATGCAGGGGGACCCATTCGCATGTGTAAAACAGTTTGGTTACACTGATATTTCTGATACAACAAAGTTCACATACGTACTTAACATATATACACGTAATAAGTTGCCTTTTCTTTTGTTTTTATATCTTGTACCCAAAGGGTGGAAGGGAATACTAGTTTTGTACGAATGTATGTATCAGAGAGAAGGAGGAGTGGTAGACCCTACAGGGTATTTATATTATTAATCAGGATGACAAAACGAGTCTGTCTGTCCGTCTGTATGAACGCAAGGATCTCAGAAAGTATAAGAGCTAGAATAACCAAACTTGGTACCCACATTCTCCTAAATCCGACAAAGGACCAGTTTGTTTATTTTTTCCGATGCACCCCCATCTCCACCGCAACCTGTGTTTTTCCATAACTTCCGTAATTGGAAATTGGAATTGGATTTTGGCAAATACGTCCAGTTAGTTATTGTGAGTCCGTATGCCAAGTTTCATAATGATAGGCCGAAAATAATAAAATTGAAAAAAGAATACATATAGTACAAAACGAAATTGTAACAAAAACAACAGGATGTTGAACCAAAGCAGCAAAAACAACAGCTGCGGGCTGCGCTCGGTCATATATAAATATATGTCTATAGCTTCCTGTTAAATCGGCCTATTATGATGAAAATTGGCATACAGACCCATAATTACCAAATTTGAGTGCAAAATTCCAAGAAATACGGTAGCTATGGAGGATTTCTAATAGCGAATCTATATTTTATTGAACTATATTAGATAATATTTTCAAATTTCTTAACTGTTCCCATAAAGAATATTTTCTCTTTGTTTCGTACAGCAAAATAAAATGGCTTGTCTAGCTTGACCTCTTCTGCTCCATTGTTTCTTGAACGTTGCAACCAGTATTGTTGTTCAAATTCAGCTGAAAATCGAAAAATTAACTTTACAAGACTAAATGTTAAAGACTTAAAAAACGTACAACTTTTTCCTTGTGTCGGCTCGTCCAACTGAACAACTAAAACAAAAATTGTTAATAATAAATATGACTTTTGCTAAAAAAAATTACTAGAAAAATTACCGTTTACTGATGCCACTTCCATTCTTTTTGGGGTTACCGCTATTCTGGTTTTGTGGTTAATACTCTGAACGAAAAGTCTTTTGTTAGACAAATTACTGAAATCTCTCCAATTTTCAAAAATTCCTGTTATGCTCATTTCGTTGAATAAAAATTCATTTAATTCCATTTCAAAATTAAATTCAAAGCTTGGCATCACCAACTCAAAGTTTTTTTTCTTATCACGCGCTACCTTTAGCAAATCAATGTCCTTTAATTGTTCCTCGATTTCTTCAATTCTTGAAATTTTGCGTGATATTATAATAAGCATCGAATAATCCGACTTGTTAAAGGGTACGCTCACCATTAAGGCATTCAATTTTTTATTTTGTTCATAAGCCATTTCTCCAGTCGCTTTCATAAACGTCGGTGTTCTTGACTCCTGGCTTGAATGGTCTATGCTCAGATCAGCACGTTTTGTTGTCTGAAATGGATATTGCCAATAACCAAGAAAATAAATGGAGTTGACAACTCCAATCTTCGTGTTTTTAATGTTTGGACCAACTCTTGGTGCATGAATGAAGTGATTAACTTTTGGCCATATAAAATATTTTAAACTGCACAAACATTCTTCGTTTAAAGATATTGACTTTCTGTTATCTGTTTTAAAGATATTTTCAGTCTTTTTTAGATACTCCGCGTTTACAATAGCTTTTTTTGCTGTTTCAAACACAAAACTTCCTGTACTGAATATAACATGACCTTCTGTTAGTTTGTCATGAAAATCTTGAAATTCCTTAACTGCCACCATTGGGCTGTCACCCTGCAACATCAATCGTTCCTTGAGATTCTCTTCTGTGGTACCTTTTGTGCCCAAGTAAACCGTTGCTAATACTTGGCGAACCCATTCGGGCGATGTGCAAATGTTAACGAGGCTTCTGTTTTTATGCAAATGGTAAAAAAACTCATTTGAAAATTTCGCATGGTTACTACTTGTTAATACGATGCTTATTGCATCTAAAATAAAAAATAAACTCAATCGGATTATAAGCATTTTTAAGCTTTTTCTGGAGCACTGCAAGTAAAAAATAGTGCACAAGGTATTTATACCATTATTTCCCATTATGTAAGATATGCCATATTAAATTGATTACGATATGCAAGGTACAGGCGTAAATTTAATTATCAAATGGGTTCTAGGACTGATTTAAATGTCAAGAAGTTAAATATAAGTCGAAAATTAACTATATATATGTACTGTGTATATATATTCCCTGACCTCAGGGGATTGTGAGTGATATATCGTTGCAAGCTCATGGCTTTGTTTTTGACGCATTGCAATTCTTAAAATCTCGTGAAGGAAGTGCTTTATTTAATTGTCAGGAAGTGACATATTGACATATTTTTAAGGATCGTATAAATAAAAAATGTTGAAGTACGAAGTAAAATCAGTAAAACACTTGATGGTGATTCAATAATCAACCGAAAAGTTGCATTAATAATCGAGGAATTCTTTGTTCAATGGTTTGGATTGATTTCTGTCTTAGGCTTTGCATGAAGGCCAAGAGGTCGCCTGCCCTTATAGCATTAATATTACGTTATAAACCAGATGACCGCCTGACTCAAATCGGGCAGATTCTCGTAGCTTGTGCAGCTGATATTGTTGTCGTATTTGAGCATCAGTATTAATGATTGTTCCCATCACATATCAATAGCTACTACGAAAACAAAAACAAAAACATTAAAAAGAGATTTAAAAGTTATAGCACGTGTGCAATTTTGGTTACATCTCATAAATTGAGCGTAAAATAGGGCCAACTATCAGAGAAAGTTACCAGAAATATACACATTTATATAAATGCCTATAAGTAATGCAATTATGTAATATATGTTTCATTGCTGCAGGTATTGGCATGGGAAAGGGATGGCTCATTAGGCCAGGTTCAGCTGAAAAGTTCATTTTTGATTATTCTCTCAATCATCATTGGAACATCTCCAAAGTTGGCTGGAAGTTAGTTAGAAAAAATAGTTAAATAGGCAACTGTAGTATAATCATAAGCTTTTTTATTTGTATATTTATACCCTGTACCCAAAGGGTACAAGGGTATATTAGTTTTGTGCGAGTGCACATGGAACACACAGAAGGAGGCTTGGTAGACCCCACAAAGTATATATATTCTTGATCAGCATGACAAGCCGAGTCGATATAGCCATGTCCGTCTGTCCGTCTGTCTGTCCGTCTGTCTGTCTGTATGAACGCAAGGATCTCCGAAAGTATAAGAGCTAGAATAACCAAACTTGGTATACAGATTCTCCTGAGACCGAGAAAGGACGAGTTTGTTCATTTTTCTGATTTTTCACAATGTTTATTTGCTTTGCTAGTTACCTACCTACCGAATACGATAGACGGAAGTAGGCGGAAAGGTAGGCTTCTCCGTACCATATACGATAACCAAACGAACTGAATTTGCAGAGTGAGCAACAATGACTATAACATGGCCAATGGGAATTTAGCGTGAAGAGCTAGTCAGTTCAGAAATATTAAACAATATAGAATAGCAGTGAACCGGAAAAAAATGCATTCCGAAATAAGCAAGAGCGTATGTCCCACCCCCTATTGCAAACATAGTTTTTATACTCTGTACATGAAATGTACAGAAGTATATTAGGTTTGCGGGAGCTGAAAAATGTAACAGGCAAAAGGAGGCGTAAAGTATATATATTCTTGATCAGCGTGACAAGACGAGTCGATCTAGCCCTGTCTGTCCGTCTGTCCGTCCGTATGAACACCTGGATCTCAGAGACTGTAAGAGATAGAGACACCAAATTTTGCACAAAGATGCCTTATGTGTGTATTCTATACAAGTTTGTTTTATTTTTTGGATTTTCTCCCCACTTCCCCCCTATGGGGGTTTTCCCGATTTTCCATTCGTAAAATCGCCTATATCTCAGAGACTATAAGACCTAGGAACACCAAATTTTAGTCTTGTGTGAATACGCAGAAAATATATATTTTGGAATTTCCCTCCTTCCCCTCTCTCCCCCGCAAATATCCCCAGTTAGTTATTACGTGCCCGTATGCCAAGTTTCACTATGATAGACCGATTTAACAAGAAGTTATAGCCATAAATATATTTGCTGCTGCAGCGCTGCTCAAGCGCTGTGGTTCCATTTGTTGCATCACGACTTGATAGGGACTTAGTTAAGGAATTAGCAAGCAGCAGGCTGAAAATCTAGAAGAGGAAGAATTAAATCCAGGGGGGTCATGGTCAGGTTCGTCCCATATCTGGTATTTGTCAGAGTCTTCAAATATATCTGGACCTAATACAATCGCACTATCAGCTTCGTCGAACTCTTTATTACTATGCGATTGTCCTGTTATTCCAAGTGGTTTTGATAGAAATCCTGCATTAAATTGGTATCTGGACGCTGAAACGCCGAGTATGCATTATACTCCGCTGATCGCTCGTAGTCAGTATCCAACAATGGCAGGTATTGCCCAAAAATATACCCGGGTAACACAAATACGTACGTGTGCAAAAGCAACGTCGTTGTTCGTGATTTGTTGGCGAAAAACAACACCGTCAGAATCGAAGAACGAGCTGATGGCTATATTGAAAAGCGCATTTCAGAAGTGATTCGAGGATTAAAAAAAGCGCTGGCATAAGTGCATTATATCTGAGCGGGATTACTTTAAAGGGGGCAAAATGAATAAATAAATACAAGTACTTTTCAAAAAATTCAAAATTCACCTTTACTTTTGATCAGGCCACATATACAGTTTGTTAACCACGAAATGAGTTTTCATAGTCTGAACCGAAAGGGTAGGCTAGTTCTGTACGAATGCAACACATGTAACACACAGAAGGATAACTATGGCTGCATAACCTTGATTTTTAGGCGACTTTGGGGCGGCTTTTCCATTGATATTGTACTGTTTTTCGAACGAAACGAGATTTGACTTTTGCAAGGCACAATATTTATTTTAAAATTATTATTGAATACTACTCCAGGGTCCGTAACAAATTCTTTTTTAAACTGACGAGTTCTGACGAGACAATTCATTAGTTATTCTTAAGTGATAATTGATTACAACTTCAAAAAACAGAGTATTATTAAAAAATAATCGGCGGGGTATTCTCAAATTCAAGTTAATACAATAATACAAGGTGCTTTCCAAAGTAAACAGAACTTTTTGAATCTAGCGCCCCCTGGTGGCGCTATCTATATGTCGACTGGTGCGTTTGAATCTGCTATCTTTATAAATTTTTCAGTGAGAATTTCATGACATTTCATCGATTGGAAGTGAAGTTATTGCGTTTTAAGTGTCAGTATGTTTGTGTTATCGGTGCGAAAATGAACTTCGACCAAAGAGCCAACATTAAATGTTGTTTTAAAATTGGTAAAACTTTTATCGAAACGTCTCAATTTATGGAACAAGTTTATGGCGATGATTGCCTATCCCGTAGCAGAGTGCACGAGTAGTTTCAACGTTTTCAAAGTCGTCGTCAGGACGTAAATGACGATCAACATGTGGGCCAATCAAAATTCGTGATCAGCGGAAATTCCATCGAAACTGTGCGTGAATTCATCAAAAATCAGCCGAAATCATACTTGAAATTGATGGAAATGGAATGGAACATCTCCAAAACATCGATTTATCGCATGTTGACCGAACATTTGGGCTTACGAAAGGAGTGTACACGGGTTGTTCCCCACAAATTGACTGGCGACCAAAAATTGCTCAGACAATCGACGTTTGTGACCGATTATTTGACCAAAAATCACATTTTAACCATTACCCACTCGCCGTATTCACCTGATACATATGGCACCGTGCGACTTCTATCTTTTCGGAAAAATCCATTTGCCCATGAAAGGAAAGCGTTATGCAGACGTAGAGGCCATTCAAAAGGCTTGCACTGGCATACTGGCGGCCATACCGGCCAACGAGCTAAAACACTTGTTCGACATGCTTTTGGATCGTGCAAAAAGCTGTATTGAAGCAGAAGGAGACTATTTTGATTAAAATAAATTAATTTTGCAGAAAAAACTATTTGTTCTGTTTTTTTTTTAAAGTCCTGTTTACTTTGGAACACACCTTGTACAAATTTAACTTGAAATTCAAAACATAAATTAATTTCATTCGTAAAAATTATGTTGATTACAAATACCAACAACAATGTCTCTCGTTATCAGCGATTTTTAGATTCTTTTCTTAGATTTTCTGGACGATAAAGTGTTGTTTATCAGTTGATGTTCTTATTGTTGTTCTAGATCTTATACTTTCCGTGATGTTTGCGTTTATGACAGACAGGCGAACAGGCGGACTTTTCTATATCGACTCATCTTGTCATACTGAACAAGAAATTATATACATTTTGGGGTCTAGCACGCCTACTTATGTGTGTTACATGTACAGTCCCACCAAACTAATATACCCTTTCACACTTTGTGTACTGGACATATTAAAAAATCAATTATCTCCACTATCTCAATCTTCACACTTAATATTACTGTGGTGAAAAATCGCTGATAATAATATAGTATTTAAATATACTGTGTGCTGTAATTTACCCAAAGGAAAGAGCTGTCCGATCGTTCCAAGAGGCCGAAACTGCATCCACTGCAACAGGCAGCCTTCCTCTTCGCCGCTAAGAACTTAACTAAAGTAACTCAATTTCCTAAGTCAACATAACTATCGTTACCTATACACCTATATGTGCATATGTATGTAAGTATTTATTTACACAAAGCACTTCACACAACTATCTTGCACAAGGAACGATCAAAAAGTGATATTCTCTTTATTAATTATGTCTTGTGTGTGTACACTAATGTTTATTAAACTAAGTTCAAAAGTGTATACATCCTTAATTTCTACGGTGATTAGAGTAACGGCCTGCTACAGAAGGTACAAGAGAATGACCAAACTTGGTATTTAGGTTGAGCCCCTGAGCCCTAGGCAGGTCAAGTTTGTTTCTTTATTTTGATTTTTTTTTATAACTCTTGGAATTTTGATATCAATTTTGGTAGTTACATCCAGTTAGTGTTGATGTGTCCGTGTGCCAAGTTTCATCACGATAGGTCAATTCTGGAGAAGGTTATAGCCATAAATAAAATCATTGCTCATGCGCTGCCCGCAGCTGTTGTTGTTGTTGCTGCTTTGGTTCAACTTATGCTGTTAAAACTGAACATAACATGTATTCTAATTTAATTTAATTTAATTTAATTAATTGATTAATTTTTTTAATAATTTAATTTTTTCTTTTTTTTAAATTTTCCTTTTTTGGGGAGAGTACAGGCTATTTTACTGTTGGGCTTGCTCGACTGTAGCATTCTCTCTTGTTTATTTTAAGTGTATAATACCATTGTACCTGCCAGATACAGTGAGTTAAAATTTATTCATATTCATGGATGATGAGGTTTTTGTTAATAGAATCAATTTTATTTTTTTTTATTATAGTACCATTTTGGACAATATAGCCTATTAATCTTAAAATAGTCCCATTCCGTAACTTGTCTATCATCTTCAAATCTCATAGATGGGCACCTATTATATGTGATTACAGGGAGCTCCGATTTTGCGTATACGCAATTATGCATATGAAATGCACTTTCGTAGTCATATCTTATATCAAAGTTTCTTGCATTCTGTTTTTGGAAATTTTGATCCACATGTGACGGACCTATATTATCCATATTTATAGTTATATATTCATCTCGATTTCCCGCATTGTGGATATGATCAAAATTCAAAGCGTGCAATATAGCTAAACTGCCATTACAGCCACTCAACCATGTCTCTATTATTAGCCCTTTTCTATATCCCATAGGTATATTACAAAAATGCTTCTCGTGATAAGAGATATAGCTGTCAACATTGGGACGAGGTGTAGGCAATTTAATTATGTTTAAGCATGTTCTTTGATTAATCAGTTTAATGTGGAATAAAATTTCTTTTACTTTGTCTTTGGACACTAAAAAAGAACGGGCTTATCAATTTACTGCGAATACCGATTCCTGATCACTTACCACTTGAGTCAATTTCGTAATATATTGTTGTGTTCGGCCATTTAGAAGTAAGTCCATGGGGATTGTAGGTAATAGGTAACATACCCTCTTTCGTAAAATCCTTTTTAGGGCAACGAACTGGATTATCTTTACATGGTATTAATTGTTCCTGTCCTTTCCTATTGTAGTAAGACACCAAATCTGGGTCAGGTTTTTCCCATATCTGATATTTGTAAGACTTTACAAGTATATCTGGACCTAATACAATCGTATTATCGGCTTCGTCGAACTCTTCATTACTATGCGATTCTCCTGCTATATCTGCACTTTTATCCAATTTGTTGTTTTGATAGAAATCCTGCATTAAATTGGAATCTGGTCCCTGAAACGCCGAGTATGCATTGTACTCCGCTGATTGCTCGTAGTCAGTATCCAACAATGGCAGGTATTGCCCAAAAATATATCCGGGTAACACAAATACCAGAGCACAAGTGAAGAGCATCTTGTGCCAGATGGTCTTTGAGGACAGGATCCAACTAACGAGAAGTGTTCACACAGGTTGCTTTTATAGGCGATCCTGATAATTGTGATTTTTATACTTATATAAACCAAAGCCATATAATACAGCTACTAATCACTCAAACAAACCATGCGTGTCTAATCTAATAAATATATCTCAAGTTTAACATACTGCAGCTAATTCGATATCTAGTTCTTATGTATATTCTGATATTTTGGAGCTCAAACAGAAGAAAGGACAGGGGGACGCATTCGCATGTGAAAAACAGTTTGGTTTTACTGCGCAAATGATATTTCTGATGCAACAAAAGACCACATTCTTATGTACACGAAATAAGTTTTCTTTCCTTTTTATACCCTGTACCCAAAGGGTAAAAGGCTATATTAGTTTTGTGCGAATGTATGTAACACACAGAAGGAGGCGTGGCAGACCCCACAAAGCATATATATTATTGATCTGGATGACAAGACAAGTCGATATAGCTATGTCCGTCCGTCTGTCTGTATGAGCGCAACGATCTCAGCAAGTACAATAGCTAGGATAACCAAACTTGGCATTCAGGTTCCCCTAAGCCCTAGGCAGATCGAGTTTGTGTTTTTTTTCTGATACACCCCCCACTCCCCCGCATTTCGTGTTTTTCGTAGCTCCGATAAATCTTTCGTTCGTGGTTATTTGTCCGTATGCCAAGATAGGTCAATTATGAAGAAAGTTATAGTTATATGCTTGCAGCGCTGCCGACAGCTGTTGTTGTTGTTGCTGCTTTGGTTCAAGTTTGTGCTGCATACATACATACACGAAAATAAACACGCATAGAAACGATTCTGATGTAAACGTATGCTGTTGAAACTGTACATGAACATCTCACCACTTTTGTATATATGTATTGAAAAATTTGTATTTAATTGAATTAAACATTTTAATGAATATAATTTTAAAATTAATATTAAATTAATATTATATTAATTAATATTATATAATAAATTAATAATATACGTCCGTATGGTCTCCTGGATCTCAGAGACTATCAGAGCTAGAGACACTAAATTTTGCACAAGGATGGCTTGTGTACGCTATACGAGTGTGTTTTATTTTTTTGATTTTCGCCCCACTTCCCCCCTATGGGGCATTTTCGCCATTCTATATCTCGGAAATTCTAACACCAAATGTAATTCCCAGATACCTTATATGAATACGCAAAAATGCGTATTTTGGAATTTCTCTCCATCCCCCTCTCCCCCGCAATCACTGAATTTCCATACCTCCCGAATTTTTTGGAATTTTTCATTGAAGTATACCTCCATTGAAATATACCTCCGATTTAACAGGAAGCTACAGCCATATATGTATGTATATAAGACCAAGCAGTGCCCGCAGCTGTTGTTGTTGTTACTAAAGCAGTACAGGCACACAGACACACACGCACACATACACGCATAGACACTCATAATTATTCTACACATATGTATGTATGTACAGAGTATTTCAAAGTCGGGACACCCGACTTTAGCTTCTCTACTTGTTTTTATAGTGAATTCGAATTTGAAAGTTACACATTGTATATATATTTAATTGCATTACATTAGATAATATTCTTGAAGTCCTTAATTGTTCCCACAAAAAATACTTTCTCTTTGTTTCGTACAGCGAAATAAAATGGCTTGTCTAGCTTGACCTCTTCTGCTCCATTGTTTCTTGAACGTACCAACCAGTATTCTTGTTCGAATTCAGCTGAAAATAGAAAAATTTATTTAACACAATACTAATTGTTAAAAGACTTAGAAAACGTACAACTTTTGGCTGCTCCTTTTGGGGACTCGTCAAACTGAACAACTATAGTAAAATGAAATTTCATATAAAATTAAAATGACTTTGCTAAAAAAAAGCATTACTAGAAAAATTACCATTTACTGACGCCACTTCCATTTTTGTTGGGGTTACCGCTATTCTGGTTTTGTGGTTAATACTCTGAACGAAAAGTTTTTTGTTGGACAAATTACTGAAATCTCTCCAATTTTCAAAAATTCCTGTTATGCTCATTTCGTTGAATAAAAATTCATTTAATTCCATTTCAAAATTAAATTCAAAGCCTGGCATCACCAACTCAAAGTTTTTTTTCTTATCACGCGCTACCTTTAGCAAATCAATGTCCTTTAATTGTTCCTCGATTTCTTCAATTCTTGAAATTTTGCGTGATATTATAATAAGCATCGAATAATCCGACTTGTTAAAGGGTACGCTCACCATTAAGGCATTCAATTTTGTATTTTGTTCATAAGCCATTTCTCCAGTCGCTTTCATAAACGTCGGTGTTCTTGACTCCTGGCTTGAATGGTCTATGCTCAGATCAGCACGTTTTGTTGTCTGAAATGGATATTGCCAATAACCAAGAAAATAAATGGAGTTGACAACTCCAATCTTCGTGTTTATAATGGTTTGACTAAGTCTTGGTTGCTGAATAAATTGATTAACCTTTGGCCATATAAAATATTTTAAATTGCACAAACATTTTTGTTTTAAATTTAATCCCTTTCTGTTAATTGTTCTAAAGACATTTTCAGTATTTTTTAGATACTTTGCGTTTATAATAGGTTTTTTTTCAGTATCAAACACTAAACTTCCTGTACCGAATATAACAAGACCTTCTGTTAGTTTGTTATGGAAGTCTTGAAATTCCTTAACTGCCACCATTGGGCTGTCACCCTGCAACATCAATCGTTCCTTGAGATTCTCTTCTGTGGTACCTTTTGTGCCCAAGTAAACCGTTGCTAATACTTGCCGAACCCATTCGGGCGATGTGCAAATGTTAACGAGGCTTCTGTTTTTATGCAAATGGTAAAAAAACTCATTTGAAAATTTCGCATGGTTACTACTTGTTAATACGATGCTTATTGCATCTAAAATAAAAAATAAACTCAATCGGATTATAAGCATTTTTAAGCTTTTTCTGGAGCACTGCAAGTAAAAAATAGTGCACAAGGTATTTATACCATTATTTCCCATTATGTAAGATAAGCCATATTAAATTGATTACGATATGCAAGGTACAGGCGTAAATTTAATTATCAAATGGGTTCTAGGACTGATTTAAATGCCAAGAAGTTAAATATAAGTCGAAAATTAACTATATATATGTACTGTGTATATATATGTATATATATTCCCTGACCTCAGGGGATTGTGAGTGATATATCGTTGCAAGCTCATGGCTTTGTTTTTGACGCATTGCAATTCTTAAAATCTCGTAAAGGAAGTGCTTTATTTAGGAAGTCAGGAAGTGACATATTGACATATTTTTAAGGATCGTGTAAATAAAAAATGTTGAAGTAAGAAGTAAAATCAGTAAAACACTTGATGGTGATTCAATAATCAACCGAAAAGTTGCATTAATAACCGAGGAATTCTTTGTTCAATGGTTTGGATTGATTTCTGTCTTAGGCTTTGCATGAAGGCCAAGAGGTTGACTGCCCTTATAGCATTAATATTACGTTATAAACCAGATGACCGCCTGACTCAAATCGGGCAGATTCTCGTAGCTTGTGCAGCTGATATTGTTGTTGTATTTGAGCATCAGTATTAATGATTGTTTCCATCACATATCAATAGCTACTACGAGCTCAAACACAAAAACATTAAAAAGAGATTTAAAAGTTATAGCACGTATGCAATTTTGGTTACATCTCATAAATTGAGCGTAAAATAGGGCCAACTATCAGAGAAAGTTACCAGAAATATACACATTTATATAAATGCCTATAAGTAATGCAATTATGTAATATATGTTTCATTGCTGCAGGTATTGGCATGGGAAAGGGATGGCTCATTTGGCCAGGTTCAGCTGAAAAGTTCATTTTTGATTATTATATTATACCTGTACTTTTCAAGGTACATTAAGCATTCCCTTTATGCCACACTAAGAAGGAGGCATGGAAAAATTCACAAAGTGTGTATTTATGTATTTAGAATCATCACAGCCAGATCCAATTTGTATAAAATCTACGCTCTAAGCGTATACTCTTACTTACAATACGTCATTAAACATCATCTAGAAAGCTTGAATAGCAATGTCTTTTGTACTTGTGAGGAGATGAATGGGTCAATAATATAACTTGTTCTATTTGAGTTGGAGTTTAGACTTTAGGCTGAAGAAAAGTTAATATTGTGAATTGTAATCAATAATCTTGTGTTAATTTGGAATGTTTTGAACCAAGTAATCAAGTAATTATAATACTTAACCTTTGGACCAGCTGTAACTAAGAAAATTGGTAGGGTAAAATATTAAATTGGAAATTTGCTGAGCTGTTACCTAAATGAAACAAATTTGTTAGCAACGGTTACAGATTGGATTAGGACAGCTGCAGGAAATAAATATATGTTACGTAAATATGCAAGAAATAAATATATTTCGTCTTTGAGAAACCGATACGATTTATTGTTTACTGTTTTTCACGCCTGTTTAGAGAAATGTGAAATATAAAAGGTCGTGACAGCCCGACTCTTAAGTACACTATACCCGTCTGCTGTGCGACAGTCCTTCAATAAAAAATAGCCTTTACTTACCTTTTTGTCTATACTATATAGATAGCACGGTTTGGCAAAACTTCAGAAAAATATGAAAAATAATTTAACGCATTATTGTTAAAAATAAAAAAGTTATCTCATTAGGATTGAATTAAAAATAGGCATTGGTCCGGTATGGATATAACATGTCTACAAAAAAGGACATCTCTAGGTCTCAAAGAATATAAAAACACTTAACTGCATATGCCCACTGAGTCTATTTTAAATGTACACCTCTTTTGTTTTTTCTCATAATGGAACAAACGTGATTTGCTCTGGAGTTATATAAATGTTGCGAGTCAATAATGTTACTGCATTGAAAGGGCATTTGTTCACTTGTTACGTAATTTAAAATGGTTCTGCAAAATGTGAAATGTCAATCTCTTTGGAAATAAAAATAGAACTAAAGCCTTTTAAATAATAATAGGAAATTAAAGTAATTTCCCTAGAAGTTAAGTAGATGAACTCAATTCTTTTAGAAGTGCAATATTTTCAAAGTGTCTTATAAATGTCTGAGAATTTCTATTCGAAATCTCAATTTTATTGTACTAACCAAAATGTGTCTTATTCTAATTTTAATTATTAATTTGTATTGTTACAGAAATAGAATAAAATGTATTACATTATACAAAAATGTGCAAGTTTTTTTTCTATAATGAAACATATTTCATGAAGCTATCAAAATAACATTTCTACCGGAATGTAGTACTCCAAACTCCTGGTAACATGTTATCAAGTAGTAAGGTAAAAAAAACCTTTTTCCGAACCTTCTATCGCACTGTCGCATTTTTTTTCGAATACTTACATCCGACATTGCGATAGAAGGTTCAAAGATCAAAGACCTTAAGTGACAATTAAACAAACGAGGATATACTTTACAATAAATGCTGCTTTAAGAAAGGACTTAGCTGCTATATAATATATGGTACATACTATATATAATATTTGTGTATGGCCTTTTCGAAAGCATTCGAGTAGTTTTGGCAAGTAGCTTTCCCACTAGCTTTCCCACTAGCCTTTTCATTTATTACATGTGTGTATTTATAGACTTTAAAATATAAACAACCTGGACTCGACGAACACTTTAATTAACAAAATACCAGGCAAAGTTCTTATTTGTCTATGCGCATGTTTCCACCTCCCCCTACCCCGCATTTAAGCAAAAACCTTTGTACAACAATAATAAATGTATCCCTAAGCAGTCCACCGGCTCCTTGCTTCACGGGCTACTCACAGACGTTTTCTTTACGAGAACATTTTAATCTAATTTAACACACTTTAGATTTATATTTGCTTAAATAGAAGTTATCTGAGAAGGACGTGCCAGGCATACGCACAGCAGTAACAAGAACAACAACAACAACAATGAAAGCAGTCTGACCAACAAGCGACTTTTGCAGACGCATTTTTATTATTTTTATATCGTTTGCTTGCACTCGGTAGTTGCCTCCGAGTTTCGTGCAATTCGAAATGCAATTGCTTTCAATATATATATATATATATATATATATCTTGAATTCCCTGCATATAAGGGTATTACACTTTGTAGATAATATATGTAACACTCAAAGGAAAGCGTAACGGATAAACACATATCCATCTGTCTGTCCGTCTGTTTGCATGCATATGAAAGCTCTAGAAAATATTAATCTATTAAAGAACAACTTTAAAAGCTGTAGTCAACTATTAAATATTCTGTGACATAGGTACAATAATACAATACAATACAATACAATAATACAATAATACATACAATAATTATATAAATTTTAAGCAAAATTTACAAAATTTTAAGGACACAAAATTTTTGAATGCAAGCATCCTGTTGATCGTTATTTTATTTTCCCTCATGGCAACATATTAACGTGAATCGGTATATGTATTTAATTAACAAAGAACCATTTCAGCCATATATGCGTCTCAGCAGTGTGAAGAATGAGTAGATGACGTTAAGCAAGGACTGGAGCATTTTCAGATTCATAGGATAGACGCCACCAACAAGTACCTAAAAAAATAACATAGCTTACATGAGAATTTCTTAAGTTTATGCGAATAGTCAGTGGGTGAGGACTTAGTCACTGTCATGCAGCTCTTTCCAGCAGACTTTAGTGAGGGTATTCATAGGTCTTGTAATATTTCCGTATTGGATTACATACACACTTGGCGGTCTTGCCATTCTTGTTCTATTTCTGATGTCTGTTATATTTAAAGAGCACCTACTGTCTGACTAACAGCACTAATATGCTTGCACAAATATTAATGGTTCAAGTATGAAATACATCAGATTCTCGCTTATAAAATAGTACGGAACAGTAATGCATATAGACCAAGACGTTGAAGAAATAAATCATTATTGTAGGACACATGGAAAGGTACACGAATATTACTTTTTAGTTCGTATCGCTCAATATTGAGATGTAATGATTGGATCTGCTTTAGATAGAAGGCTAATTGAGATGAATTTAACAAATTTTCAGATATCGTAGCAGATCAGTTTCTCAGATATACATATGTTTATAAAATTATCATTTATTTGTGTACCAGAAACATAAGCATAACATACCGCCAATGGTTTTTGTGAACGCAATATCAAGAGCTTCAACATCTTTTGTGTATCAACGTCAAAGTCCAACCAATTGCTCTCATAGGCAGCTATAGACACATGAAAGCTCTGTTTTAAATATAAAAATGATAAAATTATTGTTCATTTTCTTGCTTATAAAAATATTTAAGAAATAAATTACCTCATAATATAATTCATTAGCCACATAGTACAGTACAATACTGTTGGAAAATATCATTATCACATAGGCAATCACAATGATCGTTTGACCAATGGTTTGGGCCTTACATGAGAAAAAGGAAACGATATGTAAATAACATATATAGCAGAAGAACCGAACACTTTGTGATTAGGGAAAATGATAGTTTCTAAAATAAAACTAATTGTTGAACTTCATAGTAATAAAATGCCTTAATATAGGGATTCTCCAGATTATGTGAAAGCTGAAAATCATTGTGATTGTAAATTGTTAAAAAACTGCTTCTACTTTATATTAAAAAAATAATAAAAATAAAATAAAAAACATAATTAAAAAAAATAGAAATACCAAATAGTTGTAAATATGAAATTAAATTTAAAAATTGAAATAAAATAAATGAAATAAGATTAATAATGAAATAAAATAAAAACATAAAATATAAAAAATTGAATAAAAGAGAAAAAAATAGAAAACCAAATAAAGATTAAATTAAATAAATAAAATAGCAAAAAGAAAAAATTAAATAAAAATAAAAACTCTTTAATAATGATATTTGATATAACTATTGTCTAATAAATTATCTAAAAATGTAGCTTATTTCATCAACAAGCACTTGAACAGGAACCAGGTAAAGCTTTATAGTTTTCTGTCAGCGGATAATTTTATGTTAGAGTAGATCAACGATTAACACTTACAATGATCAAGGAGAACAGAAGCACGCAGAGCATGGCGCCAAAGCATAGGAATTCCACCAAATACAAAGCGTTCGTCAGGCTATTCATCTGATTCACGAAGCTGCAAAAAATATCTATAAATTGTAATTCCATTTCATATGCAAAACCCCTTTGAGTGCTGTCCAGCTTACTTGACCACCTTCAGCTGATACTCTATGCACCAGACAATCTGCTGACGCACCTCGGCGCCTCGCACACTCTTCAAACTGACCAATTTGTGTTGCAGCACACGACACATGAGTATGGCGAACAGGGTGCATGTAACCACGAGATTCGAGTACGGAATATACATGCAACAGCCCATGGGCGCCATCACAGCTTGTATAACAAAGAAAATCTCATAGTACGGTGTGGCGTACTTATCGATGCCGGGTACAAACATGCCATAGGGCAGCACTGCAAATACGAGTACAGTTTGCTCACAATGGGCGACCAATTCATTCATTCGTTATGTAAGCAAGTTGGGCCACTTACCGCGCTCAGAGCCAAAAATGGGATAGGTCACAAAGCCGATGCAGGTACAGGTTCCCATTAGCAAATTAATACGTCCGATTGAGAGTGAGAGGCGAGTGGTTTCGTGGACTAGCTGTGCAATTTGTGCATCAGCCGATTGCTGTTGGCATTTGGATTAGAACCGAATTTGTAATTAGTTTTGAACGGAGCTGGCTCTGAAGTTCTTGGTTCAAGCTCAATTTATTATTTAGATGTAGAAGCAACTCTGCTATTCAGAAACGTTTCTTGAAGGAGACCAAATGAATGAAGCAGAAGCTCCAATTATTTACCAAAAGCTCCATAGAAAAAAGATCTAAGAGCGCTATTTACTTGTATGTTGATCTACGTTCTGAAGCATTGTTTTAGAGGTTCATGAACCTCTGTTGCTGTTGGCTTTTGGATTAAAACTGAATTTGTTATTAGTTTTGTAAAGTTCTTGGTTGAAGATCCATTTATTATTTGTACAAGGAACTCTACCCTTTCTTAGAAGAGACCCAATTAATGAAGTAGTAGCTCAAATTATTAACCAAAATTTTAATAAAAGCTTCCCTAGAAAATAAGTCTAAGTAGTCTAATGTGTTGATCTTCATTCTAAAAGTATAAAATTGTTTTGGACATTGATTGAACTTCTCAAATCCATAATTTGCTATATATTCTAAAAAACTTATTCTAGCCGAGATCAGTTTTTGAAAAGCGTGATAAAGGATGCCTTTAAGATGTTTCGTGGCACAGCGAATAGTTGTTCTGTTTGCAGACTGCATCAGGAGTGTTGAGTGCCCTACGGCTAAAAGGAAGGAATTTCTGCTTACCAACAACTGCACATAATAGCCTTTGAGAAGCTCCAAAAAACGCTCGTACCGACCACGTTGCACACTTAGTAGCACACCACGCAATATTGTGTTACTGAAGAGAACCGTCAAGTAGACATTGCGTAGAATAAAGTCCAGTGGTTCCGTGCTCAAATAGATATCCACAAACTGTGTCCAATTAATAAGCAAAAATGGCGTTAATGCCATGTAACGCCTCCAGTTGTGTACGAACAAGTACGACCAGAACTTTATTAGCTTCAAGGTAATGCCAAAGATGGGCATGTCTATGGTGGACATCTGAGTATTCTGAGTAGTAGGGTGCGGCATCCTAGAAGTGTTAAGTTGTGATTGCCAATGACAAGCTTTGTGTCCTACTGTCCTTTATATAAACGTAGTCACCGCTATTTCTGCCTTATTCTTTTTAATTATACCATTATAAGTTCATAATTAGGTGATGGATATATTAATGATTACAGACTAACGCGTATTAATTATGGTGTCCACGAAATTGTGGGCGTCCAATTGGTAGATTGGATCATATAATTATAGCAATGTTGCTCACACTGGCTATGACTTTTCCTGTTTTATGTGTGGTCGTATTTTCCTCTACAGGTTTATTTAAAGAAGCCTGCTTGTTAGAGCTGGAATGCACAAAAGATGGGTGGTCCTTGCTTGGGAACAAAAGTGTTCATCTTAGACAATAAGGCATGTATATATAGAAGATATAGATGTTGTTCTCTTATATGAATATAATATGTGAAATGTATAAGGCGTAATTTATTTTTTATTTATTTATTTATAAGCCTTATCCAAGCATTGGATTACTTTTAAATTATTACGCTAGTCATTACAAAACTATATATTTCCTATTGCTGTGAAGTTAGTAATAATGCCCTCTCAGTGGTAAGGTAATTGCTCTCTTACTTGCTATAATCATAATATACATGGTTTCACATATTTAAGAATTAGGAATATAAATTGTAAAGATTCTCTTGAACAAGAGTACAAACTCACTCTTTTATTGTAGTTTATTTTATTTTAATAAATCAACAAATTGTGCTGTCGGTACAGATTACAATAAATACATATATGTTTTTTTTGTAATATAATATATTATATTACAACAAAGATATGGAATAATATTAGGTCTTAATTTAAACTTACAACTGACTATACAATAATGTCGATAATTGTCTTCGATACGTTGGGGAAATCTTTATTTGTTATTAGGCCAGCTATACCCCGATTCACAGCATAACATTATTTACCTAACCCACTAAAAAAAAGAAATATCCTGGTGTGCAGCGAGGCAGTATATACTTAAAAAACTCACTCAATTTTTGTTGCAATTCCAAAGAAAGGAATTTGTGATAGCGGCCTATGCCATGAAGCTGGGCATCATAATAGACAGATGCAGGAAATGCCAGCAATCAGAAGCGATTGAAATGCCGCAGATTCTGTTATTCACAGAACAAAACATTGGAGGCGAGTGAAAGAAGTGGCCTCCTACTAAACTGATCAATACAACTGGATGTTGATCCTGGACTTGGAATAGAAACGAATTTAAAAGCTTTAAATTCATTTCTTTCCTGCTAACAAATATGTTAGTTTATTTCTGGATAGAAACTATTTTATTGCATTATTTTTGCTTGAATTGAAGCTGCTGATGCAGAGTTTAAAGCCTCGGCATTTGCAAATGTCGACCACTCTGGTACCTAAATCGAGGTTACCACACACATTTTGGCGCTTTTTTTGTATTATTTTGTGGCATTTGCAGCTATGTCTGTGCCATGAAAGTGGTAAACATTTGCCTAGTGACATAAAAAAATGTGCGATTGTTGACAGTTTTATGGCCATGGTTCGCCTATCTTGGCGATGCTCCAAAAAAATAACAGCAACAGCAAAAAAAAACCGATATATTTACAAATATTCATACGTTAAAGCCGAAAATAACTGACCTAGCCCAATTAAAAGCAACAATAAACCAAGCAAGTGCCCATTAATCGTTGTCTCCGTATTCTCTGTGCACAAAAGTATGCTATAGTTTTTGTCAAACAAGTCTGCGTGCCATGGACTTGACCTTTTTGGTTATTGTGGTCGACCACAATTTTAATAAGCGAGAGCAAAGCAAATGCAGAGAAAAAACTTTTAATTGCATGCACAATAGTGCAGTGAACACTAGCCAACAGTGGCAGAGGAAACATGTGTATTCCATTGTTTATATGCAGAATAAAAACGAAAAAGCGGCTATTCGTACGATTCTGGAACTCAGGCAACGATCTGGTGAAAAGAGGCATCCAAAATTGGACGCCCAATGTGTAACCCGTAAGATAGATGGGCCACATACCAGCATTGCGTACTTAAAGCAAACGTTAATTAAATTAATTACCGTCAACAACAACAAAACCTCATACAAAATGTCTTTTTTATTTTATTTTAAGACTTCATAAATTAATTACAAGTAATTCACTAAATTACATAAAAATGTAAAGAATGGGAAATAAATATCAATGAAGATCTATCAGTTCCTTCAAAAATGATATCCATGTAAGCATTGTAAGAATTTTTATTTTAAATTTTCACATTATTTAATAACCATAGATTATAATTATATTTAGCAAATTTATCTACATAGAAACATTTTAGATAGGTATTTCATTTTGAGAATCTGGAAAATCGCAATTGCTTATATGTCTTACATATTTTATACGGAAATATTTGAATGGAAATATTAAAAAGAATATCTTATTTTATAACACAGTATTACGTAAACTGTGATTATGTATATGACTTTATTTTTCAGTTTTTATTTATTTTCTGCATTTAATAAAAAATTACTCAATATATTCTAGGAAATATCTGAAAACAAGTTATGAATATACAGGAAATGTCTTGAATTCCGTACCAAAAATGTTGATTATTATATATTCTTAATAGGTATAATATAATGTTTTATTTTAGACAAAGCAATAACTCAACGATATTGAAGCAATGTCGATGTTAATGAAATCATTCCTTAATCAGTGATGAGCATGTCTCAGAAATAAGCTCGGTTCGTCATACTATACTCGTATGATCACACAAGTGACGCGTATTCCCATGCAGGTCTCTTCGCCAACACAAACTGTTTTTGGTAGCAGACAGCGGATAGCAGCCAGCAGACAATAACCGGCCAAATTGAAAATTTCAAGCAGTAGCGCCCAAAGTTATGCAGCAAAAAGTTTTTATGCATATGTGAGTGCCTGGGTATTTTGCAGCATATAATGGCAATAGTTTCTGCTTTGGCGAGAGCTCAGACATCGTTCGGTCAGGCAGAGTTTTGAACCACATGCTTCACAGCTGCCCACCACCACCTCCAACACCACCAATATTAATGAATGAGTGCGGTTCTGCTCGTCGATAATGCACATATACCCAGGCTGTGCGAAATGAAATGCATAATTACTTGATAATTGGATTTGTGGTTGGCTCAACTGACTCGCAAAATTTTCTAATTAAAATGTTTAGTGGCGGCTTTTGCAGCGCACAGCCAGATGCCAAATTGCCACTTAAAGCGACGATGGGTTCTTTAAGTCGAGGGCCTGGCATTGGCATTGGCAGTACTATGCGCTTGGGCCACGTGCTGTGGCCATTGCCATAGTCCCTTCTATACGTATTTTTGTATTCTACCTGGGCTGGCCAAAACAGAGCACAGTGGATAGTGCTTAGCCTCAAATGTTGTTTACTGTGAATGATATCATGTAACTGACTGGCCCAATTGTTTTTATTATCGAAGTCTACAAAATGCGTTGAACAATCATTGTATGTTCTTATAGTTACACTTACATCATCAATTAAATCAGTTTAATGGTTGCAAGACAAGCGGGCTTGCTCACAACGACTTGCTTAAAGTTAAAAGTTCAACTTGATTCCTTAAGTCACTTCATCGAAAAAAAAGAGCCATTTGACACTTCTGATCAACATTTAAATGAATGAAAAGTGTTATAACATTTAGAAACCCTTTAACCATATTTAAGATACTATTCATTTTTATTTTGTATACGAATTATACTTTCATTATACTGCTAATATAAACAATAAGTTAGATTAAAAAAAATATAATTACAACTTAAACTAGGAGCTTAGTCTTATGATTATATTTAAGATATCATCTTAACTGGCCGGAAATATAAAAATCAAATTAATTAGGCAAAGAAGGCAAAGGATAGAGATGGTCGATTGCCATAAGAATCGTTTATTTATGTGTATTGTTTTCTTTCTACACAGCCAGAGCTAAACAAATTCAAATGATTTTCTTATATGCACCTTTCTTTATTGCACTTAACCGCTTGGGTACATACTAGCTTCCCTCACTTAACTATTCTTTAACTTAACGAACAATTATTAAACATATTAAGTAGTGAAGTTTAATAATTGTTCATACCTGATTTAATTTCAATTAAATATGAGTTTAAGCGTTCACGTTTCTAAAGCAACTACAAACAATTTTAATCAGCAATTTTGTTAAGAGCATAATTGATAAAGTTAATTAGAAAAAACGTCTTGAATTAACCAACTTTTTCGAAATCAAGTACAAATTTTAGATGGATGAAGTTCCATTAAGAGCGATATAATTCGCTCTATACAAATAATTTTTTGGGGAGCTATAATATCTTTCCCCTTCTATTGGATTGCAATTATTATATGAGAACTGCAACATAAGTGCTTCCACAAATTATAAATTCTCTCCTACAAATAAATATTTAATAACTTTAAATAATTATAATTCTAGGAAAACGCCATCAAACTATAGCTGTAATCTAAGTTCTTATAGGAATTTACAATAAGTATATAAAATATTAATAAGAAAATATTTAGGTTACAAAAAAAACTTATTTAACAAATAACAAATTCCCTCCTGCAAATCACAAATAAATAACTTTAAATAACTTTGAGTATAGTTCAAGGCCTTCAAGCTATAGCTGTGATCCAAGTTCGTATAGGAATTAATAAAAAATAAATAACTAAAATATAAGTTAGAAAATATATACATAGCTTAAAAAATAAATTTTCTGGATTAAAGCAAACTTAACTCAATAATATTTTCGAGTAAGAAAGAACATAAAACAAGACTTTTTTCATTCCAAAATAACGTTATATATACGAGTATATGACTTAAAGTCTTAATATTTAAAATAAAGTCGTGTTGCCATTGGCAGAAAATTCAGTTTGTTCCACTGTTGGTGGGTGTGTGATGGGATAAGGGCTTGTCTCTAAATAAGTAATAAACACCTTGCTGTGCCGCTGCATGCCGCACG